CTCTGGAGGCTCAATCACAGGAGCAAAGCTTTAGCTACCCCATAGGGTACTACCCCCTGCTCTGCTGGGTGCGATCCTGCGTTTTGGAGATAGACATCAGAAGTCTTAACTGAGCAGAGTATTTCCACTTTTTTTCTGCCACTGGGAACGCTGGGGGTGGCAACCATTTCTCACTCTACACCTTACAGAACAGCTTCCCAAACATTAAAGGCAGTGCAGGCTGAAGCACAAGCTGTGAGAAGCACCGGCTACAATGGCTCATGATTTCTAACAAAGTAAAGAAATAGATCTTTGTCACGGATGCGCAGTCCTTCGCTTTCTGGCCCTGGCTGAAAAAAAAAACCCTGTATCTGCATTAAATACAGCAGCGCTTGTACCAGCAAACCTCCTACTAGCCCTGCAGTGGCTCCCCCTGCTCCATTTTAGGGATAGTTTTCTAGGGCTTCAAAAGCGCAGAAGCTTGCTAATGCTGTTCTGAGTACGCCTCGATGAGAATTTATGCTGAATGTACTTTCCTAGACAGCAGAACACAGGCAAGGCATTCTACATTCTCTCTTGTTAATCAGAAAGAAGACAGTATTCATTTTTTTACGTTACTCTGAAGAGATGGCATCACATCCTGGAAGAAAAGCTGTCTTTACTGATTATTACAGCCTTGTATGAAATCTTGACCAAGTCTGATCTGAATTCATCCCGGCTGCCTTTGATACGTAAATGATCCTGAGATTTTGGATTTGGTCACCTCAAACACCTTTACAGAGAACAGAAAGATGTTGTCAGAGAGCTATTCAGAGCTGGAGTGGGCCGAGCCATCCCTTTCCACTGACTCTGGTGTGAACGCAGGCCAGAGTTAGCTATTCAAATCAATGTCTATAATTAGGTGGGATAAATCTGGACCCTAATGCCTCTGCATTACTCAGCTATCTCAAAGTAAACTGCATAAACCTCCTGCATCCTGGCTTCGAATGTGGAGGATGAGCCGTATGTGTGTCTTCCTAGTCGTGTCTGGGCACCTCTGGGGCTGATAAAGGTCTTTCCCAGGGCCTCCTGGAGCGGGATCCTCTCAGGTCACTCCTGATGCTCTGGGGGTCTTCCCAGGGTCTCTGGGGCTGCTCCGAGTGCTCCTGGGCTCCTTCCAGCATCTCTGGGGGAATATGTTGTTTACGTGCCAGAAATATCAATCACCATAACCTTTGTATTAAGCCAACTACCAGAGGCTATTCAATATCCAGCAAAAGCCTTCACAGTGCTACTCTTCTCCTGCCCACCTCCTCACCTGACCCAGTCACAGAAGCAACTACATTATTGTTATCCAAGCATAGATCATGGTATGTATACAAGCCATAATGTACCTCTGTCTCATATGAATGCCTGAATGACAAGAGTGCTGGCCCGATGTGCCCTGTTTGCGTAGAAAGAATTGAGGTCATCTGCTGCTTTTGCCTCAGTCCACCCCCACATCAAGGCAGCAGTTTGAGACTAGCTGGGTTTGGAGAACTCAATTACAAGCCTCTTTCAAGTTTTAGCTACAGTATGAAACAAGAAGAGATGCTAGGACTTGTAGACCTTGCTGGCATCCTAATGAATATGTATAATCATATAAAAGGCTCTGCTAAAACAATCAACGTACACACAGTGGAAGCTGTGACCAATAGATGAACTGTCTGTGCAAGAATGTGCTAACAAAGTTGTATGGTAGAAGGCGAAGAGTACGGCAGAGTAAGAGACAGAGAAAAGGTAATTGAGAGAGACATGTACCTAGTTTAGGATGCTTGGCTGCCTCACGACAGGGCTGCAACACGAACATCCAGCCCAGGACAGAGGCGTCACCTAGTACAGTGCTGCTCTGCTCACCCTAGGAAAGAGTCGGTGAGCCAGCCGCCCACCTCGAGGCCCGTGAGAGGATGCCACCTCACACAGGCTCCCTCCCAGGCGGACACCGCCTCACGCGAGGGCTTCCCGCAAAAGAGCTGCCGCTAAACGGCTCTCCCCGGCCGCCAGCCCCCCAGAGCCCCCGCAG